TTTGCAGGTTTTCCTACTTACAAAGCATGTAGAGGTCTGTAATATTTATCATAGGTACACTTCAACTGTGAGAGACGGAATCTAAAACAAAAATCCAGAAAATCACATTGTATGAGTTTTAAGTAATTAATTTGCATTTTATTGCATGACTTAAGTATTTGATCACCAACCAACCAGTAAGAATTCCGGCTCTCACAGACTTGTTAGTTTTTCTTTAAGAAGCCCTCCTGTTCTCCACTCATTACCTGTATTAACTTCACCTGTTTGAACTCGTTACCTGTATAAAAGACACCTGTCCACACACTCAATCAAACAGACTCCAACCTCTCCACAATGGCCAAGACCAGAGAGCTGTGTAAGGACATCAGGGATAAAATTGTAGACCTGCACAAGGCTGGGATGGGCTACAGGACAATAGGCAAGCAGCTTGGTGAGAAGGCAACAACTGTTGGCGCAATTATTAGAAAATGGAAGAAGTTGAAGACGACGGTCAATCACCCTCGGTCTGGGGCTCCATGCAAGATCTCACCTCGTGGGGCATCAATGATCATGAGGAAGGTGAGGGATCAGCCCAGAACTACACGGCAGGACCTGGTCAATGACCTGAAGAGAGCTGGGACCACAGTCTCAAAGAAAACCATTAGTAACACACTACGCCGTCATGGATTAAAATCCTGCAGTGCACAAAAGGCCCCCCTGCTCAAGCCAGCGCATGTCCAGGCCCATCTGAAGTTTGCCAATGACCATCTGGATGATCCAGAGGAGGAATGGGAGAAGGTCATGTGGTCTGATGAGACAAAAATATAGCTTTTTGGTCTAAACTCCACTCGCCGTGTTTGGAGGAAGAAGAAGGATGAGTACAACCCTTAAGAACACCATCCCAACCGTGAAGCATGGAGGTGGAAACATCATTATTTGGGGATGCTTTTCTGCAAAGGGGACAGGACGACTGCACTGTATTGAGGGGAGGATGAATGGGGCCATGTATCCCGAGATCTTGGCCAACAACCTCCTTCCCTCAGTAAGAGCATTGAAGATGGGTCGTGGCTGGGTCTTCCAGCATGACAATGACCCGAAACACACAGCCAGGGCACCTAAGGAGTGGCTCCGTAAGAAGCATCTCAAGGCCCTGGAGTGGCCTAGCCAGTCTCCAGACCTGAACCCAATAGAAAATCTTTGGAGGGAGCTGAATGTCCGTATTGCCCAGCGACAGCCCCAAAACCTGAAGTATCTGGAGAAGGTCTGTATGGAGGAGTGGGCCAAAATCCCTGCTGCAGTATGTGCAAACCTGGTCAAGACCTACAGGAAACATATGATCTCTGTAATTGCAAACAAAGGTTTCTGTACCAAATATTAAGTTTTGCTTTTCTGATGTATCAAATACTTATGTCATGCAATAAAATGCAAATTAATTACTTAAAAATCATACAATGTGATTTTCTGGATTTTTGTTTTAGATTCCGTCTCTCACAGTTGAAGTGTACCTATGATAAAAATTACAGACCTCTACATGCTTTGTAAGTAGGAAAACCTGCAAAATTGGCAGTGTATCAAATACTTGTTCTCCCCACTGTATCATCAGTAGGCCTTTATGCACTTAAAAAAAAGAAAATATTTGGGAAACTCTCATTTTCTAATTTATTCTATTTTATTCCATGATATTGTTGTTACAAAATAGATTTATGTTGACTGTGATTAATTTAGTGCTAGGCTAAATTAACAAACTAGGCATACATAGCTCACTGCTGTCACGCCCTGACTCTAGGGACTTGTATTTGTTGAGTCAGGGTGTGTAATTTCTGTACTGGGTTTGTCTATGTTAGTTTCTAGATCGTTTAGATCTATGTTGGCCAGGGTGGTTCCCAATCAGAGGCAGCTGTAGCTCGTTGTCTCTGATTGGGGACCATACTTAGGTAGCCTGTTGGCACTAGTGGGGTGTGGGATCTTGTTCCGTGTGAGGTATGTTATTTGTCTACCTTGGACGTCACGTTTCGTTTGTTGTTTTGTCGTGTGTTTAGTCGTCAATAAACATGATTGCATATCACGCTGCGCTTTGGTCCGTCTCATCCGTAAACGATCGTGACAACTGCATGATCCTCAAACCAAAGACTGGCCAAACAAGTGTTTCTAAAAGTGAATTCAAAGGCACTGTAGAATGACTGTATACAGTGCCTTCAGAAAGTATTCACACCATTTGACTTTTTCCACATTTTGTTGTGTTACAGCCTGAATTTAAAATGGATTAAACTGAGCTTGTTTTTTCACTGGCCTAAACACAATACACCATAATGTCAAATTAATTAAAAATGAAAAGCTGAAATGTCTTGAGTCAATAAGTATTCAACCCTTTTGTTATGGCAAGCCTAATTAAGTCGAGGAGTAAAAATGTGCTTAACAAGTCACATAATAAGTTGCATGGACCCACACATACAATGATCTGTAAGGTCCCTCAACCAAGCAGTGAATTTCAAACACAGATTCAACCACAAAAACAAGGGAGGTGTTCTAATGCCTCGCAAATAAGGGCACCTATTGGTAGAAAAAAGCAGACATTGAATAACCCTTTGAGCATGGTGAAATTATGAATTACACTTTGGATGGTGTATCAATACACCCAGTCACAAAGATACAGGTGTCCATCCTAACTCAGTTGCCGGAGAGGAAGAAAACTGCTCAGGGATTTCACAATGAGGCCAATGGTGACTTTAAAACAGTTACAGAGTTTAATGGCTTTAATAGGAGAAAACTGAGGATGGATCAATAACATTGTAGTAACTCCACAATACCAACCTAATTGACAGAGGGAAAAGAAAGACGCGTGTACATAAAACAAAACATTCCAAAGCATCCATCCTGTTTGCAACAAGGCAGTAAAGTAATACTGTAAAAAATGTGGCAAAGCAATTAACTTTTTGTCCTGAATACAAAGTGTTATGGGGCAAATCCAATTCAACACATTACTGAGTACCACTCTCCATATTTTCAAGCATAGTGGTGGCTGCATCATGTTATGGGTATGCTTGTAATCGTTAAGGACTGGGGAGTTTTTCAGGTTTAAAAAAAACGGAATGGAGCTAAGCACAGGCAATCTACACTGGAGTTGCTTACCAAGAAGACAGTGAATGTTCTTGAGTGGCCGAGTTACAGTTTTGACTTAAATCGACTTGAGAATCTATGGCAATTAGACAGAACTTGAAGAATTAAAAAAATAATAATGGGCAAATGATGCACAATCCAGGTGTAGAAAGCTCTTAGAGATTTAACCATAAAGACTCACAGCTGTAATCGCTGCCAAAGGTGCTTCTACAAAGTATTGACTCTGGGGTGTGAATACTTCTGTAAATGAGATCTTTCCGTATTTCATTTTCAATAAATTAGCAACAAAAATGTTGTGTAGATGGGTGAAAAAAAAAAACAATGTAATCAATTTTTAATACAGGCTGTAACAACAAAATGTGGAATAAGTCCAGGGGTATGAATACTTTCTGAAGGCACTGTAGCCTAATAAGGCATTATTTCCCCACATTATTATTTAATTCTAAGTAATTCTATATATTTTATTTTATACAGCCTAAATGCGAAATGTATAGCCATGTTGTTGAGCGCTCCTGCCAGCGTGTCACTAATGCTTCACAATTGATTTCTTAAATGGCAGGCTATAGCCTTGAAATAAGAATAATATAGCCTAAATAATTCATTTTAGTTCCTTCTTAGGCTACCTGGCTTGTTCCTGACTGATTTAGAGTTAGTATGTTGTTTAATAGCCTGTTGAAATGTCGAACATCAATTTATAGTGACAGAATCACACATTACTTCCCAAGCAAAGTAAATGTTTTGTCTCCTCAGCTATAGAAGGTTGTAGCACAGCCTCTGAATGTCATAGAGACAAACCAAAGATATCCCATATGCATCGGAGTCACATCTTTCCCCGGCATTTTACAGATTGCTTCTAGCATAAAGCATTGTGGACTAAAGCGTCATTATAGATCACTTTATATAATCAGGTCCATTAAGCTAACAAGGGGTAGGCCTATACTTTTAGCCATTTTCTTTAACAAAAGCTAAAATACCCTCACATACCCCCTCAATAGCGGAGCACATGGTCTCTTGGGCTAGAACAAACTGTGTCTATATGCGTCAAGACCATTTTTTTTCACAGTCACATCTTTGACATATGCCTAAAGCTTTTGTCTTGCTCTCTACATCTCACAAAAAGCAAATTGACGGCTATCAACAATAAAAACCTGTTTGCTACATGTCCAGTGTTCCTTCAGTAAGCTACAACATGTCCCATGTTCTTCGAATAAGTAAGATGGCTGTTTTCCAGGCAGGGTGAGTGGCGCTGACCAGTGACGGAAAAAGTACCCAAATGTCATACTTGTGTAAAAGTAAAGATACCTTAATAGAAAATGACTCAAGTAAAAGTCCCCCAGTAGAATACTACTTGAGTAAAAGTCTAAAAATATTTGGTTTTACATATACTTAAGTATCAAAAGTAAATGTAATTGCTAAAATACACTTAAGTATCAAAAGTAAAAGTAAAAGTGTAAATAATTTCAAATTCCTTATATTAAGCATACCAGACAGCACAATTTTCTTGTTTTTGATTTATTTATGGATAGCCAAGGGTACACTCCAACACTCAGACATCATTTACAAACGAAGCATGTGTGTTTAGTGAGTCCGCCAGATCAGAGGCTGTAGGAATGACCAGAGATATTATCTTGATAAGTGCATGAATTGGACCATTTTCCTGTACTGCTAAGCATTCAAAATGTAACGAGTACTTTTGGGTGTCAGGGAAAATGTGTGGAGTAAAAAGTACAGGAATAGGAATGTAGTGATGTAAAAGTTGTCAAAAATATAAATAGTAAAGTACAGATACCCCAAAAAACGACTTAAGTAGTACTTTATGCTTAAGTATTTTACACCACTGGCGCTGACATACTTGGAGACGGTGACAAGGGTGGCTGGGTCAGCGCCTACAGAATGAGCTCCACCGCCAGGACCAGTCTCTCAATCTCCTCCTTACTGCTAATGTGGTGGGGCAGCTCTGAGTAGTCACAGGTCAGCCCCGCCTGGTGCACCTTAATCATCACCACCACCATCCCAGAGGGAGACAAAAGGAGACAAAATCACAGGTCAGACCCTGCTGTTGCACATTCATCATCATCAACATAATCATCATCACCCCTATTGGAGAGGGAGAAGCACCAGGAAGGGAGAGAATAGTATGAGCCATCCAAATAATGAAAGCCATCTTTTTATCAGCATTGTGCCTTTAAGAGTAAAAGGTTGGAAAGAGGCAGCAAAATGAAACCCTTTTAGCTGTTAATGACAGGCTATATATAGAGATTGACGTTTTCATCATTAGTGCTACATTATGTTCTTCCTCATCCCATTTTCCTTCCTTCCCTGGAAATAAATTGAATTAGCAATTCAAAACACCAATGGTGATGACTATATCGGTGAAAAAAGCAGTCCATTTACAAGTTTGTAGTCCCGGGCCTCGTTATGATTGTGCAGGCTGCTCACTAGCTTGACCAGAGATTTCATACTAAAAAACAACAGAGATACAAATAAAACCTTAGAAAACAAGTATGAGTTATAGATTTTCCACCATCAGATCCTCCTCTCCACCCTCTCCGAGTTGGGCATCTCCGGCGCTGCTCACTCTTGGATTGGGTCCTACCTGAGAGGTCGCTCCTACCAGGTGGCTTGGCGAGAATCTGTCTCCGCACCACGTGCTTTCACCACTGGTGTCCCCCAGGGCTCAGTTATAGGCCCTCTCCTATTCTCTCTATACACCAAGTCACTTGGCTCTGTCATATCCTCACATGGTCTCTCCTATCATTTCTACGCAGACGACACACAATTAATCTTCTGATAACCAGGTGGCGAATCGCATCTCTGCATGTCTGGCAGACGTATCAGTGTGGATGTCGGTTCACCACCTCAAGCTGAACCTCGGCAAGATGGAGCTGCTCTTCCTCCCGGAGAAGGACTGCCCGTTCCATGATCTCGCTATCACGGTTGACAACTCCATTGTTTCCTCCTCCCAGAGTGCAAAGAACCTTGGCGTGACCCTGGACAACACCCTGTCGTTCTCCGCTAACATCAAAGCGGTGACCCGATCCTGCAGGTTCATGCTCTACAACATTCGCAGAGTACGACCCTACCTTACACAGAAAGCGGCACAGGTCCTAATCCAGGCACTTGTCATCTCCCATCTGGATTACTGCAACTCGCTGTTGGCTGGGCTCCCTGCCTGTGCCATTAAACCCCTACAATTTATCCAGAACGCTGCAGCCCGTCTGGTGTTCAACCTTCCCAAGTTCTCTCATGTCACCCCGCTCCTCCGCACACTCCACTGGCTTCCAGTTGAAGCTCGCATCTACTACAAAACCATGGTGCTTGCCTACAGAGCTGTGAGGGGAACGGCACCTCCTTACCTTCAGGCTCTGATCAGACCCTACACCCAAACGAGGGCACTACGTTCATCCACCTCTGGCCTGCTAGCCCCCCTACCTCTACGGAAGCACAGTTGCTGCTCAGCCCAGTCAAAACTATTCGCTGCTCTGGCACCCCAATGGTGAACAAGCTCCCCCACGACGCCAGGACAGCGGAGTCACTGACCACCTTCCGGAGACACTTGAAACCCAGTGGTTGTCCCACTGGCTATCATAAGTTGAATGCACCAATTTGTAAGTCGCTCTGGATAAGAGTGTCTGCTAAATGACGTAAATGTAAAAATGTAAATGAACATCACCTCCACAACAAGGAGGCACCCTACAGTCCCATGCCTGTATCTCTTTAACTAAAATGATAGCCTTATGACAGCCAAATCTAATTCAGACTGTGAGCAGCCAGGTCACCTGTGATACAAGTCAGTATTTCATGTCCATCCATGTCTGAGGACGTCAGGAAATGACGTGGAAACCGGCCACTCGGGGCAACAGTGAGCGCTGTTACCTTCAAGTAGGTTTTGGTTTTGCCAGGGTGCTGTGTATGGGAATGGCAGATGGGTGTAAGCATCTGCCTCTGATTACAAAGGTTGAAAATTCTAATCCAGCGATAAAGTAGTTTTTTATATTTTTGTTTTAAGCCTATCCTAAACCTTAACTTTTACCGTAACCATTTGGAGTTAATGCCTGAACTTAACCCTAACCTTCAAAATTTGGAGTTAATGCTTAAACTTAACCTTAAACACTTCTAAATTTGACGTTTGGAACAACTTCGAAATTTGACGTTTGAGAAACATCTAATTCTGACATGAGACTATGAGAGCTGTTAGCAACGAGAGGCAGACAACAGAGAGGTGATCAACCCCCAAGGAAAACTTGATTACACACAAAATGTATAATATCTGTTCATGGTAGGAAAAGCAGAGATATTGATACATGAGGAAAATATCACAATAAGTAGATCTCAATCTAATCTCTCCCTAGTTCTGATATGGTGCTGGTATTATATGATTGACCAGTGCTGAGAGAAGGGTTCTTAAGAATAAAGGGTTCCGACTGAAGATTAGGCCTAGCTGGGGTGATGCAGCAGTTTCTGCCTGGCAGCTAGAGCAGATTGATCCAGGGTTGGCAACAGAGTTACTGTAAGGCAGGTATAGATTTACCCTTTCCAGGGTTGGCAGCCCAGCGCCTGACAATCTCCTTACTATCATCCTCCACCAGGTCTGCAAACGCTGCCTCCAGATCCTCCAGCTGCCGGATACGTCTCTCCACACACTGTCAACTCCTCAAGAAAAAAACACAACATGACACAGTTGTAGTGTACAGTAGAAGACACTTTCGGAAAAGGCAGTATCTCTTATCTCATCTGGGTCTTCACTAGGTTTAATGAAGCTGTATAGATAGCTCCTGTAGAATATTGTACTCCTCTTATGGTATACAGAGGAGGGGGACTAAAACTGATGGCGTCAAATCATGACATGATTGCCAAGGAAAAACCAACATGTCTAAACATCTTAAAACACTTCAGCTGATACTAAGTAAGATATCTGCTACATCTAAGCAGTATAGGCTTCCTTGAGAAGGCTAAGCCTCTCGTTTCCAACAGTTACAGATCATTGCCTTTACCTGTGTATACATCTCCTTGAAGGGATTCTTACAAGAGAAAAAAATCAAGGTCGATGTCAAGTATGTATGGATCAGTTTGTTTGATAATGGAGAGAAGGCTGTTCACAGCGTAGGTCGTTGAGACCTCAATGTCAGTCTTTGAACAAGGCTGTTTGCAAGGCTCCTTTTCATCTTCTTTGTTGTTGCCATTCCTGCTGCAGCTGCTCCCTGAGGTTCTACTGCCACCTGGTGGCTGAACTCTTTCAGTACAGCTACTAGATCTGCTCTCAGGCTTGGAAGCTGAAGCAGAGGAAGATTGAGTGTCATTCACATCCCCAGCTCCCTTTTTCTTTGTCCTGGGTCTTTTGGCAGAGCTCTTCCCAATGTTACTCTCCCTGTCTTTCCTCTGGCAACGCTACACAGGGTTCACTCGGACAACACTCAGTCCCAGAGGTTTAGGATTCTCCAGAGGATACTGAGAAACATATACGATAAAAAGTAATCGTCCTTACTTGTAACTCTGAAACAAAAGAAAAGAAAGGAGAATAAGAAACGTCTTTGGGTCAAACCACACCTTTCTGTATAAGGCATCCACAAAGTCAGGAAGTATTTGCAATGAAAACCAGTGTCGACTCAGGTGGGTTAATGACCTGATGGTGGTTGTCTTTTCCCACAGATCTGCTGTGCCCAGTAGGGATGGAACCATGCCATGTGAGACACATGCCCAGCATATACGATGGGCATGATCCAGTTCTTAATGCTCAGCTCATTGCAAACAGAGAACAATACATGATCAGTGAGTGAATGCATGTAATGTATCTGCAAATCAGTGGCGGTCGGTGCTGTTTAAGATGAGGGAGGATGATTCTTTTTTTCATTCATATTCCATTCACCCAGCTCAATGTAACATTGACAGGTTCAAGCTACTACATGCTACTCTAATTTTCCCTGTACCCATCATGAGGTTGCTACAACCTAGCCTATGAATGAAAGTTTACAACTTAGAGCATGATAACTTTACTCATTGTAAATATAATTCCTTCTCGCAACTATCTACGCGCTCTCCTCCTCTCACCTTTTCCCTTCGCTTGTGGACTTCAGTGCACAACACATCAGCTGTCTGTGACCAGGCGAAAACCTTTCCAAGCCAAACCTTCACATCATGACCGCTAACCGCTACACATAGCGTACATCATTATCATGTCATAGTCAACTAGAACTACTAGAACGAACGCGTTAGTAAACCTACTACAATCATGCAGTACAGTGTACAGTCAGAAAGCAGTTTAGCAGTTACACAAGCTTAACTTGACTAGGAAGAGTTCCAGTGTTGGATAGCCATAGCCAGCTAGCTAATATATCATCCCTCTCTGTTTGAGTAGGCTAAACTAGCTAGCTGCATAAGCAAAAGATTACCTTGACTTGGAAGAGTTACAGTGTTGAATAGCCACATAGCCAGCTAGCTAACATAGCATCCCTCTCTGTTTGAGTAGGCTAAACTAGCTAGCTGCATTTGCTAGCTAAGTGAAAATAAAAAGAAAGACAACCAGCTCTCTCTCTCTCTCTCTCTCTCTCTCTCTCTCTCTCTCTCTCTCTCTCTCTCTCTCTCTCTCTCTCTCTCCCTCTCTCTCTCTCTCTCTCTCTCTCCTTTGTGCCCTTGATCAAGGCACTTAACCCCCACAAAGTATAACTGTACTGTTGGTCACATGTTGTTAACATGTGGTCAACCCTCCATCTGGAGAGCTCCTGGGTGTGCAAGCTTGGCTTTTGATCCAGTCCTGAAACACCCAAGTCTGCTTATCAAATCAAATCAAATATGTGTTGGTAACATACACATATTTTGCGGGTGTAGTGAAATGCTTGTGTTCCTAGCTCCAACAGTGCAGTAGTATCTAACAATTCACAACAATACACACAAATCTAAAAGTAAAATAATGGAATTAAGAAATATATAAATATTAGGACGATCAATGTCGGAGTGGCATTGACTAAAATACAGTAGAATAGAATAAAGTGTATACATATTAAATGAGTAAAGAAGTATGTAAACATTATTAAAGTGACTCATGTTCCATTATTAAAGTGACCAGTGATCCCATGTCTATGTACAGTTGAAGTCGGAAGTTTACATACACCTTAGCCAAATACATTTAAACTCAGTTTTTCACAATTCCTGACATTTAATCCTAGTAAAAATTCCCTGTCTTAGGTCAGTTAGGATCACAACTTTATTTTAAGAAATGTGAAATGTCAGAATAATAGTAGAGAGAATGATTTATTTAAGCTTTTATTTCTTTCATCACATTCCCAGTGGGTCAGAAGTTTACATACACTCAATTAGTATTTGGTAGCATTGCTTAAAAAATGGTTTAACTTTCGGGTAGCCTTCCACAAGCTTCCCACAAGAAGTTGGGTGAATTTTGGCCCATTCCTCCTGACAGAGCTTGTGTAACTGAGTCAGGTTTGTAGGCCTCATTGCTCGCACACGCTTTTTCAGTTCTGCCCACAAATGTTCTATATGATTGAGGTCAGGGCTTTGTGATGGCCACTCCAATACCTTGACTTTGTTGTCCTTAAGCCATTTTGCCACAACTTTGGAAGTAAGCTTGGGGTCATTGTCCATTTGGAAGACCCATTTGCGACCAAGCTTTAACTTCCTGACTGATGTCTTGAGATGTTGCTTCAATATATCCACATAATTTCCCTTCCTCATGATGCCATCTATTTTGTGAAGTGCACCAGTCCCTCCTGCAGCAAAGCACCCCCACAGCATGATGCTACCACCCCCATGCTTCACGGTTGGGATGGTGTTCTTCGGCTTGCAAGTTACCCCCTTTTTCCTCCAAACATAACGATGGTCATTATGGCCAAACAGTTCTATTTTTGTTTCATCAGACCAGAGGACATTTCTCCAAAAGGTACGATCTTTGTCCCCATGTGAAGTTGCAAACCGTAGTCTGGCTTTTTTATGGCGGTTTTGGAGCAGTGGCTTCTTCCTTGCTGAGCGGCCTTTCAGGTTATGGCGACATAGGACTCGTTTTACTGTGGATATAGATACTTTTGTATCTGTTTCCTCCAGCATCTTCACAAGGTCCTTTGCTGTTGTTCTTGGATTGATTTGCAATTTTCGCACCAAAGTACGTTCATCTCTAGGAGACAGGATACGTCTCCTTCCTGAGCGGTATGATGGCTGTGTGGTCCCATGGTGTTTATACTTGCGTACTATTGTTTGTACAGATGAACGTGGTACCTTCAGGCGTTTGGAAATTGCTCCAAAGGATGAACCAGACTTGTGGAGGTCAAAAAATAAATGTGGAGGTCTTGGCTGATTTCTTTTGATTTTCCCATGATGTCAAGCAAAGAGGCATTGAGTTTGAAGGTAGGCCTTGAAATACATCCACAGGTACACCTTCAATTGACTCAAATGATGTCAATTAGCCTATCAGAAGCTTCTAAAGTCATGACATCATTTTCTGGAATTTTCCAAGCTGTTTAAAGGCACAGTCACAGTGGGTTTTTGCTGTTCTTTGTGCTATAGCTATTGTATGTTACTCATCCTTCCAGCTCTCGCACTGCCTGTCAAAAAGGTGGCTGGCTCAGAGTTTATTGAAGTCTGGGAGTTTCAATGCTCTGCCCCAAGTTTAAGGTGCTGCAGAGTGATCTTTTGTTGAATTATTCCTCATGTTAGTTGCCTTCTCAATCTGAATGTATTTTTAAATCCACCCGAATGTGATACAAGAAGAAGGTAGATAAACTTTGATACAGTGTTATTCATCTATACTGTAAGCTGCACACGTGCCATTTGGAATGTATATCTCTCTCTGTGCTCCTCAGGAGACACTGACCATTCTCATTTGGGAATTTTAGTTTATAGTTTGTCAGGGCCTTGTTAAATAAATGATACCGGTCTGATGGATTTCTATATTCTTCACCAAAGCTCTCTGTCCTTTTTCCCCTTCAGCATTTTTCCCCTTCACTTTCTCTGCGTCTCTCTCACTGTGTGCACACTCACTGTATTCTATTCTGTATGCTGTATGTTTGTGCAATTCTCTCTCTCTCTCTCTCTCTCTCTCTCTCTCTCTCTCTCTCTCTCTCTCTCTCTCTCTCTCTCTCTCTCTCTCTCTCTCTCTCTCTCTCTCTCTCTCTCTCTCTCTCTCTCTCTCTCTCTCTCTCTCTCTCTCTCTCTCTCTCTCTCTCTATGTCTTAAATATGTTTTAAATTCTTCTTTTAAAGTTAGATATAAAAAAAGTCTAAACCCCCACATGTTATTACCAGGGCCAGATTAATGCAGGGGCTTACCGGGGCTGAAGCCCCTGGGCCCAGGCCCGTGGGGGGCCCAAGGGGCAGCAATATGTATTTATTTTGACAAAATAATAATAATACAATTATTAAGGAAATATACACTGGGTATATTATATATAGAGTATATATTATATTCGTAGTATATGTTTTTTCACTGCGACCACAGGATGACCCAGGAGCCCGCTTGTAGACAGCCTGCTGCCGCTCTGCTAATCATCAGATGAGGAGAGGAGGTAGGGGGCCCACATGGGTAACTGGGGGGCCCTGACTTGATTGGGTAACTGAGTCATAAAATGTTTAACATTTAATGCATAATAAATAAATGTGACTGGTCAATTGTGATTTCTTAATCTGGCCCTGGTTCTTACTGCCTCATCTCATATCAGTGATGTATTCATCATCACCCTCCTTTTGTTTTTCTCTGTCTCAAAGTTCTAAATAGAGCAACTCAGCCAGTGATGTGTATGGTTCATATGGCTCATCCCACACAGCCAGTGCATCTGCCATGGGCCATTTGGCTGGCTGATTGGTTATGGCTTCAAAGCCCAGTCCGCTGGAGGTGAGTGGGTGGCTGGGTAAGTGGAGGCTGCCTGCTTCTCTCTAATGTTGAGAATAAGGAAGTGGTGGGGGTAGACTAACTTAACAAGAAGGACTGATTTGATTTGCCTGAAATTCCCTCCACTCCAATCAGTGCCTCCTGGCTATCTCCTTTCTTTTTACCTCGTCAACCGACCTGTCAGATTTTCCTTAGATTTTATTCTCTCCTTTGCCATGATTCTCTGTGAGTGCTCAGTCAGACCCAGTTATATGGTTATAAAATATACTGAACAAATATATAAACGCAACGTGTAAAGTATTAGTCCCATGTTTTATGAGCTGAAATAAAAGATCCCAGACATTTTCCATACGCACAAAAAGCTTATTTAGCTCAAATTTTGTGCACAAATGTGATTACATCCCTGTAAGTGAGTATTTCTCCTTTGCCAAGATAATCCATCCACCTGACAGGTGTGGCATATCAAGAATCTGGTTAAACAGCATGATCATTACACAGGCACACCTTGTGCTGGGGACAATAAAAGGCCACTCTAAAATGTGCAGTTTATTCACACAACACAATGCCACAGATATCTCAAGTTTTGAGGGAGTGTGCAATTGGCATGCTGACTACAGGAATGTCCACCAGAGCTGTTGCCAGATAATTGAATGTTCATTCCTTTACCATAAGCCGCCTCCAGTGTTGTTTTAGAGAATTTAAGCAGTATGTCCAACCAGCCTCACATGGCGTTGTGTGGGCGAGCGGTTTGCTGATCTCAACGTTGTGAACAGCGTGCCCCATGGTGGCGGTGGGGTCATAGTATGGGCAGGCATAAGCTACGGACAATGAACACAATTGCGTTTTAGCGATGGCAATTTGAATGCACAGAGATACCGTGACGAGA